TAGATGTCAGACATCTTCTCCCCCGTGAAGAACGAGTCGTCCTCGAGGACGACATCCTCCGTGTTCCAGATGATGACCCGGAGCTCGAAGCCGACGGGCTTCCTCGCCGAGATGTCCAGGGACGGGCCCGGCAGCGGGGTGTCCATCGGGTACAGCTCCACCCACATCTCCAGCTTCCCCTGAAACATGTCGCGTGTTTCAGTTGATGATCTTGAAATGGTACATGGTGTCACATGTTTCAGTTGATGATCTTGAAATGTTACATTTTTATTTGTTGATATTGAAATATCCCATTATGTCGCATTTTTTAGTTGCTGACTTTGAAGTGTCGCATCGGTGGGCGACTGGGGTCGCTCTGACGCAATATTGCAACTTAAAATTGCGTCTCCAGGCTTGCATGCCTCAATTTAAATAACCGTATTTTAAATAACTTTTATCTCTAAATAACTGTTTACATTTATGAAAGAGAAGACAGATGTTTGTCTCGTTTCGCTTTTCGCCCCTAAACTTAACTCGAAGGAAAAAAAATCCATTCATTCCCGGGCGATCGTGAAAATTTGATGTTTTTCCCGAAAAAATTCGCTTCCCAACTTCGCAAGCTTCACTTGCGAAGTTGGGGAAATTTTTTGCCGAGCCTCAATTATTTGAGTCTGACCTGTTCGATGCCCGGCTTGTCCGGATTGTAGAGGGAGCGCGTCTCCACGTGCTCCGGCACCAAATGGCACCCAACGTTCGGCACTTTCTGCCAATTCTGAAGCACGGACAGCGCCAGATGCTCCTCGTACCCTGTGCAAAAACCCAAATGCATAGTTTTCGCGCGCAAAAATTGTTTTGATCAATTCCAACCCGTACCTTGCCTGGAGAGCGGAATGGTGTTATTATCCGGCCTGACCGCGAAAACCCATTCGCCGATCCGGACTCTCCCCGGCATGTAAATCGGCGATTCCAACTTGTTTTCGCGGCACATTTGTGCCAAAATTTGGGTGGGTCGCAGGGCGTCTCGCCATTTGTTCGGACCGTTGCTAAAGCGAAGAATCAGCATCCAACCGAGATAATTCCACACCTGACAGTCATTGTGCAAAAAAATTATGGAAAATTTTTCGAAATAGCGAATAATATAACAATTTCGAAAAATTAGCGAAAAAATCGCGGGAAAATAATGAAAATAAATAGCAAGATATTATATATATATATATTTATCGTGTTATCATTTCTTCTCCAAATGCTGCGAAAAAGCTGAGGGAAAACCCTGACGTTTCGTATCGCCTCGGGAGCCCGCACGTCGCTCTGTGCTTGGAGTAGAACCGATTCTCCAGGTCGATGAGCGTCTCCCCGATGAGGTCGTCGGAGCCGAGGAGGTCCCAGTCCAACACCTGGATCTTCAGCAGGGAGTCCTGGGGGAAGGTGCCGCTCACCTCGAAGCACCTGCGACGAGGAGTTCGCTCAAGTTTCAAACAAAAATTTGCAAATACCATTGAGTAAAATATACAAAAATAGAAATATAGAAATAAAAATATAGAAATATAAAACTGATTCGCATTATTTTGCTGAAATGCAGTTTATGAAACAAGGAACTATGGCTTATGAAATTCATGAAATTATGAAATATGATTTATGAAATTCATGAAATTATGAAATATGATTTATGAAACTCATGAATTTCATTAAATTATCATCATGAGTTTCTTTTTTTCACTGGATGACAAAGCATCATGCCGACTTCGACGGACGCATCCGACTCACTTCCCGAAGACGGGGTTGAGCTGCCGGGAGATGTAGTTCTCCTTGTCGGAGATCTTCCGCGACCCGAAGTGGAGGAGGATGTAGGGGTCGGCCTTGCCGTTCGGATCCATCGGGTGGAGGTCGGTCGCCCGCACCACGTACACGCGGATGAGGACCGGGATCGGGTCGTTCGAGGGGAAGCGGCGCCAGTCCTCGCCCGGTCCCGTGTCGATGCCGCGCGAACGCCGGACCTGGATGTTCCCCTGTTGGAGAGAGGGAGCTTAACGTTTCCGGCTTAACCTTTCCAGCTTAAGATTCCCTGTCAACAGCTTAACCATATTGGCCATCATTGGGTCACTCGTGTCGAGTTAAGTTATGGTTAAGTCATTTTTAAGTCACTTCGTTTCTCGATTCGACAACCTTGGGATGGCCCTTGAAACCGTGACCTTGACCTCGAAAAGAGACCCTTACCTTGAACTTGCCGACGAGTCTCCCCCGGTCGCTGCTGGCCGCCGCGCTCTGCTTCCCCCTGTAGATCGCCCACGTCTGGAGCCACTCGTGGAACCCGCCGAACTCCGGCTGCTGCTCCAGCTCGTTTGGGTAGATCTGCAAAATGTTGAGAACCGAATCTGAGAACTGAGAACCGAATCTGAGAACTGAGAACCGAATCTGAGAACTGAGA